CAACATCAACATCATCTCATACCCGGAGTTTTAATGGGGATGTGGGATGCAGTGGTGCTCAAAAGATGTGAGAATTCCACCTTCCTCACTGTCTAGATACCCTTTGGGAAGTTTCCTGAATGTTTTATTAAGTAATGCAGGGTCTTCCTCAAGGGGACCCAGCCTACCCTGCAGTCAGTGGGTTCTGGCTCTGTGAAATGACTTAGATCGAGAAAGGGATGAGGGCCTTGCTGTCCATGATGCCGGTTAATTGCCTTCTCCTGACTTATACCATTCTGGAACTCGGTAATCCCGACTGATATTAGGGAGCCCCAGTTTTATGGCAGCATCTTCTGTCAACCCTGACATGTTCAGAGCTTCTCTAGGATGCTAGTGGCCCCTCTCCAGTAGCTCATCATTGCACTAATGAGCATTCCTCTGGCCCTCCTGAGGACCATGGTCCAGGTCATGGGGACTCCAGTCTCATATAACAAATCCATGCGAACATGGCCTCCTCCCTGAACCTTCTGACCCCTTCGCTGAGTCTCTGCCAGTGCTGTTTCAGGATCTCCACTTCCCATACTGTGGGTTCATGGCGTGAGGAAGCTTCGAGGAGCAATACTTGCAATCGTTCCCAGTGCCAGTGCCATGGCTTTGAGCCCAGAGTCACAGCTGAGTGCTCCCATGCACGGGGCTCCCCTTCCCAGACTGATATCCAGGCCCTGCTGGTACAACACCCTCGAAGCACCTCATCCCCATATGCCTCCCTTGTGCCTGTGAATCCATATCACCCAGGTCTCGCAGATCCTTCGACAAACAGGTGATTTCCTTATGGGGCAGCGACTGTATTTCTCCTACTCGGACTGTCCTGACACATGATCCTCTCTCTCTGGTGATCATGAGTGCGGCGGAGGTGGGTCCTGAGGATGACCACCGTGCTGCAGGGCACCTGCTTCGAGAGCAATCTGCCGCAGGTAAGGGGCAGGGAGCTGCTTCTGCCAGTCCAGAGGGTTCAAGGGATTCTAGGATTTCAAGAGTCACATTTACCCAAACGGTAAATGGGTTTCAGCTCTCAAGGTCCTACCTTTTTCCCTTTAGCATACTGACTTCGATATGGAAACATTTTCAAGGTTAGACACTCATTCTCTTTAATGAGTCTGCCACCTTTGGAGTTAGATTCTGGGCCTGGTTCTCAGCACTGTGTCCTGGGACTAGAAGAACCAAACATCTCCTTAAATACTGCTGAGGATGTCTTCTGGTTTTGTGCATGTCTTGACTTTATGGTTGGCCAAACTAAGTTTTGCATCTTTTTCCCCCAAGACTTCCAACACAGTTAATAAAAGAGAACCCACTCAAACTCCATACCTTAGTCTCGTACCATACAGATGCCACAGATAACCACTTCCCTTCCCACCCGTATCACATCGCAATCCACACAGGAGACAACCGAGTAACTGTGATGCTTCTATAGGCCAGGGATTCTCTCCATCCCACTTACTGTCCCTGCCATCTGGCTGGCAAGTGAATCCCTCCATATATCCCATCCTGCGGGTCTGATTTCTAGGGCTACTTCTGATGCCAGCTCTTTTCACCTGGGTTCCCCCTGAGACCAATGCTTGTGCTCAGGTTCTTTATTTGGGAAGTGATCCCAGGGAACAGAGTAGTGAAACAGGGCAGGAAAGAAAACCAATATAAAAACACATACTAAGTTGGGCCAGCTCTGCGGGTCACTTCTACAGGACTTGCTTAATCTTACAAAACCTTTTGAGGAAGCTTAGGAAACACATCCCAGAACTCTCCACCTGGACACTCTCTACCTGGAGGATGAAAGGGAAAAGAATTTATCCATTGTTCCCTCCCCCCAGCTAGTCAATGGAGGACCTACAGGCACTGACTCCCCTGAATTTCCAGGTTGCATATATATAAGTGCGGAGGGGATCACCGGAGTCTCCCAGGACAGGAAGTGGGGAGTGCAGGGCATGCCTGGGGCAGGGGTGGGGAGGGCACAATCAGCTTGCACCTGTGTGAGGTTGTCCACACCTGCTCAGACCCAGTCATGCAATAGAATTAGAGTTTGAGGATTTTAAATGGGGCACAATAGGTGCCCAGGACCATCCACCCATATAAGGACCAACCCGCAGAACTGCAGAGGCTGATGCTTCAATGTTAATTTCACTGCAGGTGGTCCAAGCATTAGGACTCCACTTGTTTCTTCAGGAATTGTCCCCAGAGCAGTATAGAAACCAAACAAGAAACTCAGTGACATATTTAGGTTTTTTAAGCTAAAACAGTATGCCCAGCTTAATTAATATTGTCATTAGCCATAACAAGCTCTTCCCAAAGAAAGATGATTTGCCAGTATGGAGAAGTTCATTCCAAAATTATAGAAATGTAATATACAGGAGTAAGACTGGTGTCAATCTCATTACTTTATGCTCAGTCACACCTGACGTGAATAACTGTGTCTGTGTATCTGCCTGTGTGTCTGTGTGTTGTGCACAGCTGTACCTGTCTGTGTCTATACTGTATCACGCACATCTGTGAGTGTATCTGTGAGCTTGTGTGTCTGTGTGTATGGTGCTTGTGTGTTGACCATCAGCTCCGTGCCAAGCACAGTGCTAGGCATGAGGGATGCCCTGAGTAGAGACTCTATTCTCATAACACTTAGATGCAAGACAGCCTAACTTGCCAGGGAGAAGGAGAGACATAAGAACCTCCAACTCTTAAATTATTGTTGCAGGAGGCGAAGTTATGGCCTCCCAGGGACAGAACCTGTGAATATGTTATGTTACATGGCAAGGGGGAGTTGCGTATAGAATTAAAGCTGCTAATCAGTTGACCTTAAAATAAGATTGTCCTTATTATCCAGGTGGGCCCAATATAATCAACACCAATCCTTAAAGGATGGAAGAGGGAAGGCAGAGGAGTCGTGTCAGAGTGATTCGATGTGACAGAGACTCAGCCAGCCACTGCTGGCTTTAGAGAGGGAGAGGGCCACGAGCCAAGGAATGTGGGCAGCCTCCATAAACCGGGAAGGGCAAGAAAACAGATTCCCGCCCCCCACCAGAGCCTGCAAATGGAACGCATGCCAGCTGACACCTGGAATTTAACCCAGTGAGACCCATTTTGGACTTCCGATCTCCAGAACTTTAAGACATTAAAATCTGTATTGCCTTAAGCCACTAAATCTGTGGTGATTCCTTAGGGCAACAACAAGAAATGAACATGCCTGTGGAAACGGTATTCAGCTCTTTAAAATACCTCCCCCTCTCTCTGCTTCGAGCCTTAACTTAAAGGTGCGGTGGATTACATTTTACCTCGGGTTGGGATGAAAAGTCAGCATTTAAGGAGAAACACGTATGCCTTTCATTGCGCAGTTTGCAGAGAGCAGGGACCAGAACCCAGTGAAAGCAGCAGATCAACACTCCCCAAGGTGCCCTCACTCCTGGGCTTGGCCTTACTGACTACAAGGGCCACCCTAAACAAATCACACCCTTTGAATGATCTCTCTCTCCCAAATTCCATTAAATTTGCATCAATTCAAAGAGCACTTGCTGGAACTCCACTGTAATTTCAGATTTTGTATTTTATTTCCTGAGTTTGCTGTGGAAGGAATGGAAAAACAAAACCTGTTTGTGCTGTGGCAAGTTTTCTTTTATTATGAAATACACCAAGCATACAGAAGAATGTGACGATATCACTCCCCTCTGACAAATTCTAACATTATTCTATATTTGATTCCGGTTTTTTAAAATAAATGAAATATTACACGTACAGTTGAAACCCAGTGTCCTTCTTAGCCTTGCAGATGCTGCCTTCGGCCCCCTCTCTCCCCTCCCCACAGGAGCGCTCCCCATTACTGATTTTGATATTTGATTTTGAGAGCAGTCCTGTGCATGCTTTTATAACTCTACTATCCAGTTCTGTGTGTACCCATAAAAAGTAAAGCATCAGTTTACATGTTCAGGAAGATTGCATACATGGTAGACTGCATATAACCTCTTGCAAATTGCCGTCCTCTCTGGCTTAACACTGTCTTCCTGAGATTTATCCGCACCGACACCTGTAGTTCTGATTCATTCTTTTTAGCTGCTGAATAATATTTGATTCTATAAAAATACAATTTGTTTATCTGCTCTTCTCTTCACATGTATTTAGGCTGTTTGTAGTTTCTCTATTACAAACAGAACTTCAGTGACACCTTGTCCATTTCCTCGGGCCCCTGTGCTCGAGTTCCTCCAGGGCACAGACTTAGGAGGGAAATTGCTGGGTCAAAGGATGCGTTTCCGGTTGGCATCACCGGTAATTGCCAAATTGCTTTGCACAGGAGTCACACCGATTTCCCACTAGTGGCCTCTGTAAGTTCCCTTTAATTCGTATCCTGACCGACACATACTGGTTTCTGCCCATCTGATTGCTAATGGGTCTTGACCTTCTTTGGGGTTGCATGATTGATTCTCACAGCAACTCTGGGCGGAGGCCTTATTTATGACCACCTGGCAGGAAGGCACGGGGAAGCCCAGGGAGGGGATGAGGAGCTCAACACCGATGACTGTGGCCATGCAGGAGCCAAATGAACCTAGGAATCGTGAATCCCAGCATTTGTCGCTAGAGGAGCTGAATACAGAACACAAACTCTGCAGCCACCTTTCGAGAACAGAAGATAGGAAATCATTGGCACTAGGTCATAAGTAACAACTATCCACACTGGCAGAGAACACGATAATTGTCATTTTATGGTGACTGCTCAGCTCCTTGGAGACTGGCTGGCACACACAGGGTATGCACTCGGGACACGCGCAGAGGAAAGAAACTAAGGAAGTACTGCAGAGTTCTTGAACCTCTCTGAGTCTCGACTTCCGCATCTGTAAAATGGGCACATAAACACTTACCTGGGAGGGCTGTGGTGAAAACCAAGGGCCCACAGCAGATGCTCCAAATATCCCCTGATACCATACACCGGGAGGCCCCCCCGAGCGTGGCTGCACCCCACTCCCTAGGCAGACACCACAAGAGGCAGCTGAGTAGGTAAGAGTAACGTTTACTGAGCAATAAAGGACTGAGTACTATGAAGGGTTTACCAGGATGGAAATGCACCCCACGCCTGCCCCGGCCACCCCCAACACCCAGAGACAACTACAGTACTTAGGGTTACACACAATGGCCATAACTGCTGGATATCTGCTCGTAACAAACAAACCATAGCATATTTATACTATATCACATCGAGTGATTATAGAAATCCATATATATATTGCTTGTATAAAATCTTTTTTTTTTTTGTAAAAAATATTAAAAAAAAAAAAAAGAAAGTATAAAAAAACATGTGCAGTTGAAAGCCCTGCCAGCACAGCCAGTCTGTAAACATTCGGTGAGTATGTGCTTTGGAAGGGCGCCCGCGCCTCGTGCCCGCAGCAAACTCCGGCAGGGCTGCGGAGGGTGCGTCGCGGCTGCCGTTCCCAGCGGGACCCACGCTGGACCCTGGTGGCCTCGCAGCAGGGTCGGGAGGCAGGGCCGGGGGCAGGCAGGCTGCAGTTGGTCTCTGAGTTCCATGCCCAGCCACATTTCGTTTGCAACTCAAGGCTCTTCCTGGCTGCTCCGAGGTCCCTCCGCGGGCACCCAGTGGAGAGGCCAGAGCGGCACCCCAGGCCATTCGCTGGGGTGTCTCTCTGGCCAGGGGTCTCTGTCCTGCCTCCTTCGAGCTGGGCCCCAGGCACGGCAGCTCCATCCGAGGGTCTACTTTGGTCTCAGCGCTTGGTCCTTCTGGTTTCGTCAGCCCGTTCTTCCCCTTGTGTGGCTGATCGGAGTTTCACAAAAAAAGAAAAGCCCGGCCAGCGCTGGCTGGGCTGAGCCTCGTTGTCAAGTTTGTCATGCAGCAAGGAAGGGCCCTCTGGGAGCCCTGGTTCTCTCCCCTCTTCCCAAATCCTCCTCCTCGTCCTCCTCGTCCTCCTCCTCCTGCTCCCAGCCCATGGTCACTTCTTCTCTAGCTGCTCGAGCAGCGGGTTGCCTTCAGACTCAGGGGTCTTGACGCTGTCCGTCCGGACAATGCAGGTGGGGCGGTGCCGGTTCAGCATCAGAATGAGCTGCTGTCGCTCCTGCTTCAGCTCCTCGATCTGGGTCTTCAGCTCCGCGTTCATGAGTTCCAGCCGCTCAGATTCCTGGAACAGAGACGGGGCTGTCAGCTCTCGCTGGGGACCAGCTCTACCTGGGGAGGTACAAGGCATCCCCGGCTGGCCTCTGCCTGTCTTCTGCCTGTCACATTCCCACTGGAGGAAGCGTTGGGCCCCTGGGGTAAGTGATTTTCTGCAGCAGTGCCCGTCACAGTGGTGACACGGGCCGGGGTCAACGTGGGATGAACCCAGGTTATATTCCGGGGACCAGCCCATCTCTGGTCGCACCTCCCTCCCCTCACTCAGTGCACTCCAGCCACAGCGACTTCCTTGTTATCACTCAGATATGCCAACACGCTCCCGCCTCCTGGCCCTTGCCCCAGAAACAAAGGGTGGGAGAAGAATAAGGGCCCAGGGGCACTACAGCAGGGGCAAGAAGGGTCCAGAGGGGGTGAGACGTGGCCCACAGTTGGCAGTGCGGTGGCGAAGTGCTTAGATGTGTGATGTGTAACTGTACGTTGGGGCCAGTGGGATCCCCGAGCCCAGTGGGGTCATGTCATTCCTCCTAAAACATGGGTTTTCTGATTATTAGCCCCAAATCATTTAAACAGCCTCTTCTTTATCCTCTGTTATCTAGAAGTTTTGCCCATTGGGAGGCACTCAGCTGCCATCCTTCTGGATCCAAAATAAAGTTTCACATCTCAAGTGAGATTCCCAGTGAACTTCCAGCTTAGCTGGAGTCCCTTTTTCCAAGGAAAAGGAGCCATGCTGGCCATTTGATTTTGGGGGCGTTCACCTGTTCGGAGTGTGGATAGGTGATGAGCATATATACCAATTCAAGGCTTGGGGGTCAAAACAGTAAAGACTGGAAAGCTCCTGAATGATGTTTATGGGACTATGTCTGAAAACCGGCAACCAGTTCGAGAGCTACAATTTACTCAAGGGCCGGTGACGTTTTCGCCCACTGGTTCTCAACTAGGAGTGGTTCTGCCAACCGGGAGACATTTGGATGATGACTGGGGACGTTTTTGGTTGTCACAACTGGGGAGGGGGTTGCTGTTGGCATCGAGTGGGTAAAGGCTGGGGGGGATGGCCCCACAAGAAGAACCATCTAGACAGAATGTCCACAGCTGAGGCTGAACAACCTGTAGCAGGCAAAGGACAAGCTGTGGTTGCGGTTGCGTGTGCGACAACTGAGCTGGGTGATGCCAGCCTGGGTCCAGGGGCTGGCCCCTCTGCCCGGCGGGGCCAGGCTGAGCAGCCTCCTTTGGGGGGCCTTCGGGGGGTGCCCACACACATCCCAGGGCTGCTGACTGTCTCCCACCCGCTGGCCTGCCTGAACTGTCCTTGCGCTGGTCTCTCAGGTCACAGCATGGGAGCCCAGGCAGCTCAGACGGCCAAGACGCACAGGCCTCGTGACCAGACACTGGGGAAGAACAGCCTCGAAAGAGGAAAAAAATGCTCAGGGGGAAAATATTAAAAACCAGCTATGGTGTTTTTTGGTTCAACAGGATGAAGCACGGCGGGGAGGCTGGCCCTGTCCCCTGTTCTCAGAATTCCAAGAGAAATCATCTCTGGGAGCCGGGAGAGAGCCCACGTGAAACCATGAGTCCATGACCCATCAGTTGGGGTCACGTAGGTGCTAATCTTGGGTGCCTGCTCACTGGGTCTAATGAGCTCGTGACCTTGGGGACTTCTCGCAAACCCTCTGACCGTCTGGTTCCCCTGAGCCAAGGTTTTAGCTCCAAGTTTGAGTCCTCGGAGGCTCTGTCTCTAGAAGTGTCTGCTCAAACACCCACCAGCATTTGTGAGGACTTGCAGGTACAATGAATGTCTTGGGGACCAGGACCCACACAGCGGGGAAGAGCTTACTATGGGCCCATCAGGGCTGCAGGGCTTAGAAGACCTTCCAAGAGGCCTAATGGCTAGGTCTGGCCTCAGGTTTAAAAAACGGTTGAGTTGAGAGGGTCGGTTGGTGTGGAGGAGAGGGGACATCAGGAAGGGAGCCCTGAGTGAACACGGACACAGACACGGGAAATAAGCTAAAGATGTGTTTAGGAGATGAGATCTTCCACTGTGACCATAGGTCACTTTAGGACAGAAGGGCAGAGAGCCTTCTGGAAGGTGAATTTAGAGCCACATAAGACAAAGCTTCAGGGTTTGGAATCAGAGTCTAGAGCAAGTTTCCTCACTACCCTGAGTCTTTGTTATCTTAAATATAAAAGATGATGCTTGTGGGGGATTAAAGGAACTCAGGGAAAGCACTTGTCAACTGAAAGGTTAGGGTGGCTTAAGGAGGAGGCTCAACTTTAAGTGTTGAGCAAGGGCCTCTGAAGAGACAGAAGGAGAAGAGGAGTAGGATGGTTCAGAGAAGCCTGGCAGGCCCAGGTGACTGGATCTGGAGAATGAGAGAGGTTGCCTGGGGGAGGGTCCAAGGACTGCGGTGGGGGACAGGGCTGCTGTTTGGGGGTGGCAAGGAAGCTGCTGGGTTGCGCGTGAGTGGACGTTAAAAGTGGACGTGCGAGGTCCGGTGTCAGACACGCCACAATCCGCACCACGCCTCCCCACCTCCTCGACCGCGCGTCGGACCAACGTCATGGACAAACATCTGTGCCACACAGAAACCCAAGTAGGCATGTGGCTTCACACATTCATTCATCACTGGAACGGCACTGCGTTCTGTTGGTTTTAAAATCTTAGAATATATCGTGGACCATCCCAAACTCTGACCGGCCGACTGTCGGAACACAACTAAGTGCTTTGTAGTTTTATTTCCTTCTGTTTTATGGGGTGGTGCTATGTCTTTATTTATTGGGAAAGTAGAAGCTGAGTTCAGAAGAACCTTTTTTTTATTTTTTTAACCACGATTGTAGAAGTTGTCTGTGGTTTTATAACAGCAACTACCTGGTCTGTTTTCCTAATTAATTAAGAAACGTGGGCTAGGATCGTCACATGTTAATTACGAAGCAAATAACTTTGCTTGCGTTTTTGTTTGTTGTTTTGCCTTCTGGTAGATATTTATTGCCCTAGAGAAAATGAAACCATTTGTTGTTTTAGAATAGAATTAGTGCAAGTGAATGAACATTGTCTCTTCCACTGTGCTCAGCAAAGGCCGGAGAAAAGATACAGGTGAGGGGCTGGGTGTTCTGGCTTTTCATCCTGGCTGTGGCTTCTTGGCCAAGTCAATTCCTTTCTTGGGACTTCCATCTCCTCCCAGAAAATAAAATGATTGGCCCAGGGGACTTTCAGCATTAAGATTCTCTGATTTTATCTTTTTTTTTCCCCAAAGATTTTATTTATTTATTTGACAGACAGAGATCACAAGTAGGCAGAGAGGCAGGCATAGAGAGAGGGGGAAGCAGGCTCCCTGCTGAGCAGAGAGCCTGATGCGGGGCTCGATCCGAGGACCCTGAGATCATGACCTGAGCCGAAGGCAGAGGCTTAACCCACTGAGCCACCTAGGCGCCCCTCTGATTTTATTTTTTAAAAAATAGTTACCCTAATGCACTTAAAGTAGAGTTCTGCTTCCTAACTTTTTTGGTAAGTATTGGGAAGAAGGCTGGTATGGCCCCTCCTGAGCCCAAAAGACCTGTCTGAATTAAAATCCCAACTCTGCCACTTGAGCTATGTCCCTGTGAACCAGACCCCAATTTCCCTGAGCCCGGCAACCCGAACAGCGTGCTGTCAGGAAAGGAAGCCCCAGGCTCTAAGTCCCGCCTCAGCTGCTGTGGGGTCTTGAGCAAACTTCCAGCTCTCTGAGGCTCCGAATCCTCGCTGGAGAGTGGGGGCTACCTCACCACCTTCAGGGTCGTGAGATGGAGCCCCATGTTGGGCTCTGTGCTCCGTGGGGAGTCTGCTTAGGATTCTCTCCCTCTGCCCCTTCTCTCTCTCTCTCTCTCTCTCTCTCAAATGATAAATAAATCTTTTTAAAAATAATAAATGAGGGCTCCTGGGTGGCTCAGTGGGTTAAGCCTCTGCCTTCGGCTCAGGTCATGATCTCAGGGTCCTGGGATCGAGGCCCGCATCGGGCTCTCTGCTCAGCGGGGAGCCTGCTTTCTCCTCTCTCTCTATGCCTGCCTCTCTGCCTACTTGTGATCTCTCTCTCTCTGTTTCAAATAAATAAATAAATAAAATCTTTAAAAAAAAATCTTAAAAAAAATAATAAATGAATAAATGGCAAGAGAATTCCTCAGGTCTGTGGGCACTGGCCATCAACACAGCCATCTGCGTCTGTGTCTTAAACCTCACACCCAACTCTGTTTCCGAGGCCAGAGGGGAAGAGAGGAGCACGGGAGGAGACCGGGACTGGGCTGGGTCCAGACAGGCCTGCCCAGACCTCCCTCCCAGACCCCAAGGCCACCAGGAACACCTCCACAGTCAGGTAACTGGCCTTCTCACTGCCCCAATCCCTGTTCCACACTGCAGCCGGAGGGATCTTTCCAAGGCCTGTCTCTCTCCAACGGAAACCTTGCATTGCTCTCCATGACTGCATAATCCATCATCATAACAGGGACACTTGTGAGAGTGAAAGCGGGAGTTATTGATAAATAGGCCAGGACCAGAGGCATAAAACGGATTGCCCTAGACTGTGCAGCACAGAGGATGATCCTACATTGCGGGGACTGGGGGCTGCCTGTCCCTCCATTCTCCCCCTTGTACTCTACATTGTAGCTACAGCTACACTGACATGTTTTTCAATTCCGTAATCACATCCTTAAACACCTCCTGCCTCTAGCCTTTGCTTGCACTGTTTCTGCTAAGCCCCTCCATGCTGTCCTTCATCTCATTAGCTCCTGTGCCTCTTTTATGTCTCGATAAGCAATCTTTCCTCAGCGGGGGCTAGGCTAGGACCTCGCGGCATGTTCTATCAGCCCGCCCGGCTTGCCCAATACCCGACGCAGCGCGTATGGCCAGTCCCCACTCCCATCTGCTGTCCCATGCAGACGTCACCTGCTTGTCTGCTCTGCAGCGGGTACTCACTACACTCTGCATGGGAGGAGGGAGGGATGGAGAGCTGGAGGCAGGGATGGATGGATAAACAAAGGGATAAATGAATTGCAGCTCTAACACTGGCTAGCAGTGTGACTTTGGGAAAGTAATGTGACCTCTTCTGAGCTCTAGGTCAATCTCTACAATGGGGATAACCAATGTTTATCTTACTGGAATGTTATAAGATTAAAGGAGGCATGTGAGATGTCTGCATACAGTAGGTGCTCAGCAAATGTTCCTGGAATGTGAAGGACAGCTAGCAGCATTCATCGGGCGCCCTTCACTGCACCAGTGTGTGTTCACTTGGCATATCTTGCCTGCTAACAGGCTGACAAGCCCTGGAAGGCGGGCATCTGGTGTGAGACTTCTCCACTCCCTGCTATGCCCCGCCCAGCTCTTCAGGCACTCAGGGCTGGAAAGGAGGTGAGGAACCCTCCATCCATCTTCGGGCCTGTGGGAGACCTGTGCCTTGGAACCTTCTTGAAAACTTCCAGCCCAGTGTTGGTCTACCATCTCTTCCAAGAAGGCTCCCCAGCTCTTGGAGTCTAACTCCGACCTGTCACGGCCATTTGCCTACCTCAGATACTCACAGCCTACTGGTGTACACATGGCCCCATGCTATCTACACCTGTGACCTTGGATTTTCTCTCGGCTTGTTGCAAGCATGAGAAGAAACCCATATCTTCCTCAGCATCAGAGAAAACCGAGGCCATGTGAGCCTTCTGTCTCCAGCTCCCACAGGAGAGACTATGTCTGCTCCTTCCTATATGTCCCCCATGGCAGCTGGCACAGTGCTAGGAACTTAGTACATGTCTAAAAATGTCTGTCAATGAATCAACGACTGAGTGAAAGAATGAACACACGGATGGGGCGCCTGGGTGGCTCAGTGGGTTAAAGCCTCTGCCTTCGGCTCAGGTCATGATCCTGGGGTCCTGGGATTGAGCCCCACATTGGGCTTTCTGCTCAGCAGGGAGCCTGCTTCCTCCTCACTCTCTGCCTGCTTCTCTGCCTACTTGTGATCTCTGTCCATCAAATAAATAAAAATCTTAAAAAAAAAAAAAAGAATGAACACAAAGATGAATGAATGAATGAATTAGAGCTAGCAGAGTGTTAAGAACAAATGCTTTGAAGTAGCCTCAGGCTTGAATCTCAGTTCTACCACTCAGCTGCTGAGGGTCCTGGGCAAGTAACTTAACCTCACTGTGCCCTAGTTTCCCCATCTGTAGAGAGATGATAATGCAGGCACCAACCTCACACAGTTATCATGCCAACGAAGAGATAATACACTCACAGGACTCGGCACACTGCCCGACTTTACAAATGTTAGCAACGGCTGCTACCTGCTGCATCCCACAGAACAGAGCCGGACCCACGGATACTGATGTTACTATCATTACCTGGTAATGAACAAGCGATCCAGGGTAGGACGCTGGAGACTACCAGCCTGGACTGATGAGCATTCCTGGTCATGTCCCTCCACCGATATCTATCATTTTTGAGACGTAGCAAAGGCTTAAGAGCTGGGACTCTGGTTGGGGGCTGGGGAGTGGTTTGGAGAACAAACACCCTGCTTGGCACGGTCCATGTGAGAGGGTCAGGACCCGCTTTGAGGGCCTGGGCGGGGGGTGGGGGAAGGTGACCCCCTCTGGTGGTCTTCACGCATGCAGAGCTGGGTCGGACCCCAAGGTCCCTGGGGGCAGAGGCTTGGGGGTCCCCCTGGTGGGGAGGGGAGGCTGAGGCCAGCCAGGTGAGATGCGGGGCTGGAAGAGCCCCCTGCAGCTCAGGGTGCCAAGTGCCTCTCTGGTGCTAGGAGACTCCAGGTGCCAGGAACACCACTCCCAGCTCAGCGGCTGTCGCCTACATCTTTAGCATACGCCCTAGACGACTTTGGCAGCCACCAGGGTTTCGAAATGAGTAGGCACCGTCCTAGGCCATGTGGGTCAATCAGCACCAGGTCTGATCTCATAGAGGGGACTTGGCTCCTCCCAGCTTCTCTGGTCTTCCGGGGATCTGGCTGGTCGGGATCTGAGGCCAGTGGCCCTGGGTCGTCTTGGGTTGGGGAAGGGGCACTGGCTGGGAGGCAGGGAAGAACCAAGGGGTAGCGGCCGTGGGGACAGATGCCAGCAGGTCCACCTCGATCCCAAAGGCTGTGGGGACAGATGCCAGCAGGTCCACCTCGATCCCACAGGCTTTGGCGATAAGCTCACTCTGAAGAAGGAGACGGGTGCCCTGGCCCCCCCCACCCTCACCCCACTCACCCGCTGCAGAAACTCTGTCCGCTCCTTCTTCTTGTTCCGGCATCGGGCTGCTGCCACTTTGTTCTTCTCCCGTCGTCTTTTCCTCCGTTCCTCTTCTTCATCTAGCTGTGAGGGCACAGAGCCGCGGTCAGATGGGGAGGCAGGCCTGGAGGACAGCGTCCCTCCTGACACACACAGACATATGGACCGCCCCCTCCTAACTCACGTCTCGGCAGAACGTGAGCCGTCCCTGCCTGCCAGCCCGCGGCTTCCCGGCTGGTGGGATGGAAACATCTCCCAGCCAGCCCACGGGTCCTTCTGGAGCAGGTGGGCAAACCTGGGAGGGGTCAGTGGCCCGGGAGAGCAGGGTGGTCGGGTTCTGCCAGAGTTCAGGAGGCTCCGAGCCTGGCAAGTCTACTCACACAGAAGTCTCTTGCCCAGCCCAAGCCTACTGGGCACTATTTTCCAGGCCAGTGGTTCCCAGGCACTTCCTTTAAAAAATGCCTTGGGCATGAACACAGATTTCACATTCTACTCCCACGCACTTCCACCTCCCCGGGCTACCCTCCCTCCTGGTCCTTCCAGAGGCTCCCATCTACCTCCTGGTGCTCCCAAACAGACTCCCCAGTCTCCTCACCCAGCTCTGATTCTTTTCCTGTCTTCTGCACACTCCTCCCCTGACACCTACCTATACCCCAGGATCCCAGGGCTCCCCAGAGTACCCTGCGCTGGACACAAGCAGAGGAGCTTCCTAAATCTCCAGCTTGGCTTGCTTCTCCCCCGGGACACCTTAGAAAGTTCCTCACGCATAAAACAGGGCCCATTAAGGGAAGGTAGCAATTCACAGCCCACCAACCCTGACTTTCAATGGAAGTTGCAGGTTCTGTTGTTTTCCTTAGTAATAACAACAAGAGCTGCTCTCCCATGCCTTTTTGTTAAATGCTTCCCACACGGGTCATGCTATCCTCACAATCAATGAGGAAGGTCCTGTTGCTGACCCATTTTACAGTTGGTGGGACTGAGGCCCACGGCCATCCAACTAAGAAATGGCAGGGTTGGGATTTCAACTCGGATTTCTCTGACTTCAACCTTCCTGCTCTTGACTGACCACAGGCCCCACACAGCCCCATCAGGATCAGTTTGATGCGGTGCCTCTCGCTGCCTGTTAGCTACACGGAGGATCTGGAGGACACACGGGACCAGCTGGGCAGGGGACAGCCTAGAGTCAGAGGCCACTAGAGAAGTCGCTGGATTGCTCTGGGCTTGCCAACTCTCTCACTTCTCGAGCCAGTGGGGGTGAATCTGGCAGCCTGAGGCCTGGAACAAGGTCTCAGCCCACAGGGCTCCAGGCCAGGAAAATAAACAGCCTCTCTCCGTGCACTCCCGGCATGCTCTAGGAGCTGAGGACCCAGAGCCTGGCCGGAGACCAGCACCCACGGCCATCAGCACAGGCCCCGGTGAGGCAGCCCTTTCTCCTTCTCCACCACCTCTGAGCTTTTCCCTGACCCACGCCCACCCCTCCTGGGAGGCTGGCGGGAGAGGCTCCTTGTCAACACCGCCACACCCAAGCACCTCCCAGCCCCTTGGCCTCCTTTGAAACAGAACCAGAAGTGACAGCCCCTTTGGCTGACCTGCATCTGGGAAAATAGAAACCCGGACAAAACTGATTCCACCCAACCCCAACCTCACCCCCAGCACCGCAGAGGTAACCGTGACGACAGGCAGAGGGAAGGAACTGGAGGAAGTGGCTGGCAGTGCAACCTCCCCTCGGCCAGGAGGGTTTGCCCACAAACTGCCAAGCCAAGGGTGTGCAACCCCGGCAGAGTGCGGGGCTCGCGGGGCTCGTGGGGCTCGCGGGGCCAGGGCAAGCTGGGGTCCTGGCAGGGAAACCACTTCCCAGGAGATACAAGCTCTGTCCTCCAAGACCCCGCTCCCCACCCCAGACCTGCACAGAGCCAGACGCAAACGGAAGCTGCTCCTGCCACAGATTCGAAGGGGCTCAGTGCTGGGCATTTAAGAGCTCAGCTGGGCCAGGCTGATGCCCACAGGGGGGCTGCTCCAGCCATCATGGATGTCCCGCCTCATCCACCCCCTCCAGCCATCACCCTCTCTCCAAATGTCCCCCCTTCTCCAAGCCAGCTGGGCCCTCCTGAGATGACCTTCCTTTCCTCCTTGAACTCTTACTCGACCTTCAAGAGCAAATGTCACCTCTCCCAGGAAGGCTCTTCTGACTCCCCAGAAAGAATTAACTGCTTTGTGCGGCCACAGCACTGAGTACCCCACTGTAAGAGTCTCTCTCACGTCCTGTCATATTTGTCCTCCCCGCTAGGCTGAAGGATGGGGGGACCTGAGCAGCCCCAACACCTGGCCAGAACACGGCGCTTCATACGGGCTCAGCAAATGTTAGTCAAATGAATGAAATAAAAGATACCAGGGAAAGACGGCACAGCCTTGGATTCTAGAATTATAAAAGCGATTTATTGCCTGTGTTTGTCTCTGCATTAGCCTTTCCCCGGTGCTAGTAAGGAGCCCTTTCCACCAGGGTTGGCCTCTTCGGTCTGCCTGCAGGAGGCCAGCAAAGCTTGGGGGTTCAGTCCTGTCTTCCCCAGAAGCACGTGGACCACAGAGCCTCGATCCGGGGCAGGCCCCTGATGTGTACAGCGGGTCTGCACAAATCCTGAATAGGCCCGGACACAGTCTGGGCTGGGCAGTGAAGCTTAACCCCTGCTAAAGTCCCACGGCCCCCCAGTAGCCTCCAAGCCCACCCCCCAGGCCTCTCCTGCACCCCTGCTCTCTCTCAGCTGACAACTCCCAATAAAGCCAGAAATGGCCCGAAGCCCCACGACCACACCTCCCCCAAGGACACCCCCCCACAGCATCTTCCCCAAATCCTCCTGCCGCTACACAAGAGCCCTCCGGGAACATTTGGAAAACAGCAGCTGAAGTCCTGCCAAAAATAAGAGGGGAGCTGGGCAGTGCCCTCAGCCTTCTCTTCCCCACGGGCACTCTGTGTCCCCTGCCTGGGCCAGAAGGGAGACGGCCCTGCACCACTGCCACGGCCTCCACCCTCCTCCCAGCCTTCCCTCCCCACAGGTCAAGGCTACTTCCCGCGGCTCCGATGTGCCCCAGGGTCCCTCAAGCACTTGGCCAGGAGCCGGTGAGGCAGCAGACACAGTTCAGCTCTCCAAAACCGGAACCCCAAAACGGGGCATGATGATTTGTTTTCTGCAGATACAGCTGGAATTTACGAGAATATTTAAGAGGGAGGCAGCTGGACACATTTAAAGATCCAGGAGATGGGTGCCTGTTCTCAAAGTGAGCTCCGGCTCTCCCCAGTTCCCAGCAAGGCCCAGGGCAAAGCTGTCGGTGTTCTGGGGTGAGAAGAGAGGGTACCCTTGTGCCACCCTTCCCACTGGAGGGACAGACTAGGGGACCCATAGCCGAGAGGGTCCTCCTGCCAGGCAGTCCCTCCTCAGAGAGGCTGTTCTCAGAGCTCTGCTGTGGGGCTGGGGGACATGAGCCCCTGACCACGGCTGACTGGACGCAATGTGATCAGCTGACCAGGCTGGGCTGCGTTCACTCCTGGAAATCAGAAATCTGAAATCGGGCTGCTGGGCCGGGGGGGGGGCAGCCAGCTTCAGCCCCGGGGCCCTGAGAAGCAGAAAGACCAGGCTGCTGATGTTCGGAGACGAGCAGAAACCAAATACCCTGTGTCGGGACAGAGACAAACACTCAACCAGAGAGGGGTGTTGGGGAGACAAAAAGAGGGAGTGGGTCACAGAGAGGAAGCGGGGCCAGGCCCCCGGGCGCGGCCAGAGAGGCGCCCAGGACACGCAGCGAAGGAGGCGCTCACTCTCGAGCTCACACAGGCCCAGGGCCGGCGCCCGAGACTGACTGCCTCCTTCAGCGGCCTCTTGCAGGGTATCCTGTTTGCCTCACCCGGTCCAGGCCCTGAGAGAGAGTCCGTCTCTCCCGACATAGAAGGTGACGACAGAGATGGAGAGGAAAGGGAGAAACACAGAGACAGAGAGGCAGAGCCTTTAGAAAGAGGAACACAGAGGCACGAACAGAGGTCGGCGGTTCATTCAGGCCGAGAGGACAGATAGCACATGCGGAGAATCCTCTGGATTCCACCCCTGGAGGGGCCCTTGGGTCCTGCCCCTTGGGTCCCTGATGCATACCTCTGAAACTACCCTGAAAAATTCCTCTTGTGGCCTGGAGGGAGTTTGAGAAGGTTTCCACCTCTGGGACACCAGGGTCTCTTCCTTAGGAAATCAGGTGATGCCAGATAATAATGGAGGAGCAGAAGGTGTCCCCCAGGGATTCGGGATGTGGGGGAATCTCTGCTACCCAGGAGCCATGCTTCTAGAACGCTGAGAATATGGCAGAGCTGGGACGCAGAAGGACTTGAGCAAACAGAGGTGGGTCACCTCAGCAGGCATCAAATCCTTGGGCCTAGAAGTCCCAGCAGGCTAATCGGTCTCAGGAGACCATCTAGGACAGTCCTGTTACCCTCCCCCATTTTTACAGATGAGAAAACAAAGATATCAAGGCTGCCTGGGGGGCAGGGATGGCTTCGAATCCAGGCCTTTTGGCCTCAGGGCCCAAGCGCCTCCGGCTCTTTGAAGGGCTGGTGGTCTCTGTCACGGCCCCCCTGTCCTTTCAGCTCGCTCTGCTGGAGACCGGACTGTAAAGCTTCTGGCTCTGAGGGCCATGACTATGTTGTTCTCTTTCCGATTTGGGTCTTTTAAAATAAATACAATTCATTGCACAAGGAACGCTGGATGGGTCCCATCCAAGCTGACCGGCTTTGAGGAGGGGCCCCCCGCCACTCCCCTCTCGCAGGCCATGTGGCTTTCACGTGGTGGCAACCTTCACCCAGACTTGACTTTGAATTCTGATATTTCATAAGCATTTCCAAAAATATATCTGGCAGGGCCCACAAAGAGATAGGACAAGAAAGAGTGATGACGCTGTGTAACCTGGGGCACCGGACATAGGGCCTCTCTCCTGCGGACGGAGCAATGAAGGCGAGAGCAGTCAGGCAGGCGACGAGTAGGATTGGGCGGGGAGGGGACCAGAACAAGCCCCCAACACTCGCCAGAGGGCCGGAGGTCTGAGAAGCC